TATGTTGCGAACTCACCAAAGACCGGCGACCTACAACAGTCTCAGCGGCACATTCGATGCGACAAGCAGGTGAATTGAAAAGCGTACCAGTGCTTTCATCCAGTTAGGGTCATCAGGGAACCGCCTGAAGTAGACGAACAGTTGCGAGACGAGAATGCCATACACCCTATGCGCCAATGTCAGCGGTCGCATCGGTACGGTACTTGGTGTGCGCGCGCGACTTACATAGCAGCAATCATGATGCCCACAAGGGCGGACCCGAAGATGGTGTCCAGCGACGAGGCCATCCTGGCAGTTGAGCGAGTGAGCAAGGCAAAGCATTCGTTCGTCCAGCGCGATGAGTTATAACTGGAGCTGGACGAGCATCATTGATGCGGGCATTGCGCCAATGCCAGCGCTCCTACCACCCTATGCCACATGTAGTAAGTCTTCCGCAGATGTGCGGGCCAGTCGCAGGTCAAACGGATCAAAGAAGAGATCTACTTCGCTGCCAACGATGATCATCAAGGTTCGTTTCCGTTTTGATAAGCATGCTCTCCGGACGCCATGCCGAAAGGTTCGGTCATTATGGACCAAAAAGTTCAACAGAATGGTTGAGATGTACTAAGTATACACACTGCACCCAGAATACCTTAAGTCGTTGTAGCCGGGTCACCTCTCTCAAAGAGCAAGAGGCTCTTTCGAAGCCTCCAGTTTCCTTCAGCATGAGTCCTTGATAATTGATGCAGCTGTAGTATCAACAACTTTTCGACCGCGGTCGAGCACGGTCCCACGCCAGAACGAGTGGAAGCATACCTATAACCTGAGTACTTATTGCATACTTACCATCACGGAAGCAAAGAAAGTCTTGATCAGCTTCATCATTCGGGCTCATCGAACATGCTCCGTGCGCGAAAGTTCCTGTCAAAGTTGCACATGGATGTAAGAGACAGGTGCCTTAGACGGGCCTTAGAGTGCGCTCGGAATGGGTGTGATCGCCACTGATGTTATCACCCATATATGGAAATCAACGTTTGTCCCTCCTCCCTCCTCCTCCTCGGTTCAAGTCGCTCACTAATACTAATAGCAGTGCACAGACTCTTCTGCCATGTCAACATACCACGCTGCTTCAAGTTTGTTATCATCGCTACGACTTATACTCCATCGTGGCTTGCGCTCGCGGACGTGGATGACTCGTGGAGTGTTATAAGGAGTCAAGCTAGGCCTTGCTGTCGCCTGCACATTCATCCCAACGCGGGGTACGTATCGGACACATTGTCATGGTGAGTACTTAGTCTCTTACGGCTTCTTTTTCGCTTTCCCATTTACGTCCAGGCTGGTGCCAATGTTGATCAAGACAGAATGCGGTATCTCATCTGATAACTACCCGTCACTTAGTGCAGGGTATTGCCACCCCGATGCACTGTCATCGTCGTTCTAGTGAGTTATCGGCTCGTTCCTGAAGACCTGGTGATTCACAGATTCAGTGCCAGCGCCACGAAGGGCCAAGCAAAGGTGAGCGCTACGTGAGCGCCGTCTTGCTACCTCCTTATGTACTTACATATACAGTACTCTTGCATGTTCGTTTGACCCCAGGGAAGCAGAAAAGTGGCAGCCGCACTAGACCAACATATTGCATGACGGTCACTACGCAACCGGACAAGCTCGCATCTGCGTCCAGCTTCTCGCTCGCGAAGAAAGCCGATAGTACCTCTTCCTCGACCCCAACAGTGGATCGGCACCTCTCAGATCAGTCATGGAGAATGTACTTCGGGGGCTAGAGTTCAGAATCGCCTCGCTACGATACCGGAAGTTCCGTGACTTCCCGGCGCATCATCGCCCATGAGCGCGAGCCTTCCTGAGTTCTCTCGGAGTCCGCGGGCGATCTTCTCCCGCAGAGAAATATATACGTAGGCTGTACTTGGACGTCCAGCTTAATTTCGTCAGTCGACTAGATGCAAATTTCGTGAACAGTGACCTCGTATGGACGTGGGCATTTGGTGGGCATCTTCAAGTTGGTCGACTGAACGTTGCTGACAGTCTGATCTACGGGCATGCAGGTGACGGGACGTCTACTGCTAGGGTAAGGCTAGAAACTGTACTGACAAACGGCATCAGAAAGTGTCCCACAGTATACTCACAGTGCAGTCATAGACAATTGGGTTTCTGGGAATCATAGACAACATCCCCGAGCTCGAGAATTGTTCCGAGAGCCCCATGATGCCGACTCCCATCATGCACTTTGACATGAGGTATCCTCAATGGGGATTTGCCATTAGTGACATCACTAAACACGGGATTGCGCAAGTGCGCAGGCTCGTATCGATGACTCGGCATGTGGTCGAACTCGGAACTGTTCGCCCAGTCGTTGACAAACATGTATCACGCTCATGATGGGCCGCCACGAAGGCACCGTCTCAGAGATAGAACTTGGAATACTTACTGATCGCAAATTTGCCGTCGTCGCATCAAGGCTGCTTGCGTAAGTACGATATGCCCCTGGTCAACGCAACCTCGCGTGAAAACCGGCGCCGGCTTCTGCTTCCAGGGGCTGGCTTCCAAGTTCCCCAGATCCGAGCGCAATCCGAGCGTTGTGGAATGGTGCGTCCACTCAAGCTAAACCGAGTCCTAGGATCGCTCACCGTACACGTGTGCCTCCCAGTCGATAGGCCCAGTGTGGTTGTGTCACCTCAAGTTAGGTCTCCAATAGTGCAGGACGTCGACCCGTCCTGTCACTCCTGTGCCAAGTGCGCGACTCACCTCACTATCTCCGTCCAACCATGGCGTCCGAGCCGCTTGCTACACAATTTCCTGACTATGGTCGATGTCTCCGAAAGCATTTCGCCTTCGATCCTGACTTCGTTCCTCTCAATCACGGTGTGTTCTTTCGCGTCTTGTGTCCGTGTATGACTTCACGATTCTCAGGCGCTCTGGGTGCGACGCCGCGAGCTGTGTTGGACGCGTCTAACGATCTGACACTGGAGATGGAGTCCAATCCGGACGACTTCGTGTGGCTCAGATATGAGTCGAAGCTGAACGAGGTGCGGCAGCAGATTGCCAGGCTCGTACACGCGGATGTGGACGAATGTGTCCTGGTCCCGAACGTATGCAATGGGATCAATACTGTTCTGAGGAATTTTGAGTGGCAAGAAGGTGACGCGATTATAATCAGTACGTATGCGTTCGTCGAGTGTCGAGCCTCTGCTGATGCTTGAATCTGTTTTATCGCGATCCAGCCAACTGCACATTCAACCCGATCGCCAACGCTGCGCGGCATATCTCCCAGACATACCCCTTTCCTGCTGTAATAGAGTTTCCCTTGCACTTCCCTGAATCTCGTGAGGATCTGCTCGTTCGATGGCGCAACCTCCTGCGTGAATTGGCTTTACCCTCGGCCTCTAGCGGCTCATCGCAACAACGAGTTGTCGCGATCATTGACAGCATTGTGTCCGGTCCCGGGCTCGTCATGCCATGGAAGGAGATGGTGCAGGCATGTAAGGAGAGGGGAGTGTGGACCGTGATCGACGCGGCACACTCACTTGGCCAGGAACGCGTGGATTTGAGCGCGAGTCAGCCGGACTTCTGGGTGTCGGTAAGAAGTCATCAGTTGCTCAGCCAAAACAACCCGTAGTTATGCTGGCACAGAACACGTCAAAGTGGTTATTCGCCAAACGCGGCTGTGCTGTCCTGTATGTACCAAAGAGGTGAATACGCTCTCATCAACTGCCCCTGGACCATGACCTCAGTGTTGCATATGACAGGAACCAACATATAATCAAGACTTCGTTACCTACCGCTTTCCATGCGCCGTTTTCGCCGGACACGTCTACATTCGGCTCAAGATTTGCATGTACGTTCCAGTCTCGTTGTGCTCTCGGAATTATCATAGCAGCTGATTGACATTACCAGGGTTCGGTTCCGTGGACCTCACGATAGCCCTGAGTATTCCTGCCGGTAAGTCACGACGTTTTGATACCCTTACCGGTCGATCATGGTGCTTCTATAGCATTACGCTTCCAGGAGTCCCTCGGCGGAGAGGACAGAATCAACGCCTACTGTCGTGCGCTTGCTCTGGCTGGTGGCAAGCGGTTAGCGGATATATTGGGCACACGCGAGATGGACCAGTCACCCGACCGCGCTTGGACCGCGAACATGGTGGGTCAGTCCACTGCATGCAGCGTGTCAAGATACTAACGCGAGTTCACTAGGTCGCTGTGGAATTGCCTGTACCTGCAGACGTCGTGTTCTCTTTCGAGACCATGCGCTTCTTCCAGATCAGACTGATTGAGCAGCACAAGGTTTACGCATCGCAAACCTTCCACAATGGGAAATGGTGGACGCGAGCAAGTGCTGCGATATACAACGACGTGAGTCAAGCATCACCATTTCTTGTTATCAATGACGCTGCAACTCAATATTCGCAGGTCAGCGATTTTGAGAAGCTTGGATATGCTCTTGTGGAGGTTTGCCGGGAAATTGCGAAGAGACCCAGAGCAGGCGCAAGATTGTGATGACCGCGGTATATTTCGTACACGGTGTTTCATCTTATGGGACTCTCATATACAAAGGTCATGTTCACTTTGAGTGCACACCCCCATTTATTAAAATAGCAATGAAGTATGAACGTAATGCACTTGGAGGTCAGTGGCCACGTTCGATTTCAGGCGATAGTGTAAATACTGTAAGGGAGTGAACAATCACCACAGTGTCACCCACCGCGAATCGGGAGGTGATCATGACGTTCTCGGTTCACTGTCGTAGGTCTTTACATCTGATATTGCTCTTCAGAGCATACTCTCTAGTGAACTTAGTAGGACTATAGGACTCTGATACAAATAGAGCTCAATAAGTAAGTATTAGTAACGACGTGCCTTCAGTAATGACTTAGTAAGGTAGTAAGTATGGAAATCGTGATCAACTGATGGACATTAGTATTCCCAGTAAGTCGTGTATTGACCAAAGTTCGAACTCCGATAGCTTTCACACTAGGGTCCGCCAATACTGTAACCGCAAACCTGTTTCGTTCGTACACTCATCTTCAGCGGTCATCCCTCCATAAATTGCTCGTCACTCGTTTCCACCACCCGGAGGCTGTAAACAAGCTAGTATTCCAGCGTAACTAGCGATCTCTGTTTTGCGAAGATGCAGCCCATGCCCAATCGGCTAGGACTTGGACTCCGACCGCCCATACCGTCCTATGGCCAAGGTCCCTCGATGTCAGCTCTCGCACAGCAACAGTATGGGGTGCACCACCCACAATTCGTGCCGCCACAACCCAGAGCAACCACGCTCTTTATTGGTTCGATTTCTGGTGGTATCACGGACGCTTTCCTGAATTCATTGCTCGGAGTAAGCACGATCATACTTTCCCCCAGCTATCTGCCTGCTCATATTCTATCTCAGGCATGTGGCGCAGTAACCTCCTTCAAGCGTCTCATAACCCCGGCCAACAAGCCACAAGGATTCGGTTTCGCAGAGTTCCAAGACCCTGATGGTGCGTTGCGAGCTATGGGATTGCTCAATGGCGTAGAGTTACCTGCGTTGGAGGATGGGTGCGTAAACAAAAAACTGCTGGTACGTGGACTGCAATGCTTCCTGCCACTCTATACTTACCGCGGCGCTATAGGTCAAACCAGACGAGAAGACGAAGATGTTCCTGGACGCGTACCAGGCACAGAAAATGGCGACACCTGTACGTCCTCCACAATCACTTGTGGCCGCTATTGTACTCACGTATGCGTGGGTCAAGGCGGACGAAGAGCTGACGCGAAGTGCGAAAGCAAGGGTCGACCAATTCCTTGCTGACATCAATAAGCAGTCACAAGAAGCAGCAAGCAACGGTCTGATCGACAAGGAGAAGTACATCATCCCTCCCCACCTGCACGACCTGCAAGAGGCAGATCTTCCAGAGACGCAGCGGGGGCTCGTGATGACCGAGATTGCGCAGTTCCGTGAGCGCGCTGCGAAGCGGGAGCGAGAGAAGATGCGAGAGACACAGCAGGCCCTGCCGAACATCCTCGCTGCACCAAGCGGGCCCAAACAGCGTGAATGGGGCAAACCACAACTGCCGGGCCAGCAGATATCGCCGTCGCCCGTTGGCGCTGGCTCGACTCCGCAGGGATTCGGCAAGGGCGCGCAAGGCTACAATAAGCCTGTTGGTTTTGTGAAGGCGGAGTCGGACAGGGACTCGCCTATGCCAGAGGCCAGAGTGTTCAGTACACCTGGAAAGACGGACGAGGAGCTCGAGGAGGAGAGGAAGCGACAGCGACGAAGAGACGAAGAGGAGTCGTACCGAGACGTGAGTGGAGAAACCACACTTGTATGTGACACCGTGCTCACATAGCTTCACAGCGAGAGAAACGGTACGAACCTAGGGAACGAGCGCGTATACAAGCGTTGGAACGTGCGATTCTTCGTGAACGCGCTACTAAGGAGGCAGAAGAGCGTGATCGCGTCGAGATGCGGTCGCGGTTGGCCGTGTGGGACGATGACGAGAGCGACGAGCTGTTCTACACCGACAGGTGCGCTGCGTCGCATGCATCCTGTTCACAACCCTCATCCTACAAATTGCAGAGCACGATGGCGAAACATGCGGACTCGGAGACTGGCCGCGGAACTGGCCTCGGATGAGGACTCGCGCCTATACGAAGAGCGCGAAACCGATAACCTACGCAAGGAGTCAGAAGCCTTCCTCGCACGGCAGATGGACGAGATGCAGGCGCTGCAGGAGGAGCAGCGCAAGGCGGGTCTGCTTCTTGAAGACGGTGCGCCTGTCAAGCTCAACGTCTTGCTCGGCGGGGGTGTTCCGAAGCAAGAGACCGGCCCGAAGGAGAAGGCAACGGTGTTCGGTCAGGAGGAGGAGGAAGAAGAGAGTCTGCGTAAGCGGAAAGTGCCTCTTCCTAAGCTGGATCTCGCAGAGGGCGGAGAGAAGGCGAAGGAGCGGCTGGAGAAGATCAAGGCATCCGTGCCGAGGGATAAGGAGACCTTGTTTAAGGCAAAGGTGCGGTGGGACGGCCTGTCAGATGTATGTGCACGATTCCACGTAGTGCTTGTGAGCGAGGCTGACGAGCTGGATAGCTTATGATTGACCGGAAACTGGAGCCGCTGGTGAAGCGGCAGATGACCAAGTACCTAGGCGAGCTCGAAGACGACGACCTCGTCATGTTCGTGCTCGAGCATCTCAAAGACCACAAAGGTCCCCAGAAGCTTATCGAGGGCCTCGAGCCGGTGCGTCTCCCATCCTATATATTCGATGAACCATTGTCCCGTCCTTCAACACAATATGCATGTGGGATAGGCTGTAATTCGCGGTTTTATGCCAGCTCCTTACTTGTTGACATTGGGTGTCCCGCATGCTTATTATGTTGATGCTCATTCCTTGATAACCTTGCTGAACGCTGTCGGTATGTTTTGGTAACAACAGGTCCTCGAGGAAGAAGCAGTCGAGTTTATCGTCAGCATCTGGCGACAAATCATTTTCGAAAGCATGGCATACGGCGAAGGTCTACACACGGAGCGGATGATGGCCGACTGATCATACATCTCAATCCCCAACCTCCGGATTTGGGATGACGGGTAGCGCCTCTTGCGAGCGAGGCAGGTGCGTTTGCGTAGTATTCACTATTCTTCACTAAATGTATAAGATCGCCATCATGCTATGATACTTGTAATGCTCAACGGCCTCGATGTGTCTACGGTTGGATAGCTGGGGGTGGGAAGCACGTTGACGATCGTGATACGGGCCAGCCCTCCTCAGACCTCGTTGTGAGTTGCACTTTTGATCATAGCTATGCCGACAAACATGATATGATGGTTCATCCCCGAGCGCAATCCAGATAATTTGGAGGAACTACTATTCTGGTTATTGATATTCCCCGCTGAGTGGCAATCTTCGTATAACGACTGAAACCGTTGACAGCGAAAGCTATTGGTCTATTTGGCATCAGATCTTGGTTGTTCCTCTGTTATCTCGAAAGTTGGGTGAGTACCTCGTTCATGTGTGCGTACCAGGCAGTCTCCATCGACGCCTTGTACCCAATGGTTATCAGGCAGTTTGCATTGGAAACAACACCTTGTGGTACTGGTGCGTGAGATCTCTCCATTATGATGCAAGACGTATCGTTCAGAACATGATTGGCATCTACACCAAGCAAGACCACAGAAGCTACGCAGTCAACAAGCCGGTCATCGCCAAGAGCGTGTATTAACCCAGTCGGGCTCAATCATGCGACTCGGTGTGTACCTCGATAACTACGTGCAACTCTACTCTTTGCAGGTTGCGTCTCTCCTCCAGGTCCCGCAAAAACCGTTCATCTTCGTCATCTCTGTCGTAATCATCAACCTCGTCTGTCGTGTCGGACCCCGTGTCTGCTAGCTCCTCTGACTCCGCTGCTGATACCTGTGCTTCCGTCGACCCCGCCTTATCTGGACTTTCGGAGTGCATCTCGGTGCCGGAGCAAGGAGCGCTTGTAGCTGCGCTAGTGCAAGACATCGCTTTGGGCTACTGAGCAGGAACGTTGTGAGTACTCAAGCCTTCCGCGACCAATCCGGAGATTACGTACCTGTATCTGCCTCCTACGGGATAGCTGGCGAGGTTGGCTGACGTAGTGGGGTCACTTGGGACGGAAACGGGGTCGGTCGACGTGCTCGTGACGGCTCGTGGCCGGGCGAAATGACGGCAGCAAGAATAGCAGAGAGGGTTGGGATGTGTTGAGGTAGTGGGTAAGATTCAAAACCTCCGCCGGGATAGTGCTTGTTTACTCAGTGTTAGAGTTCATGATGTATCGGCGTCCGTGGATGACATCCGGCGGATGCTGTACGTTGGTAAGTGTCCTTGCTACCCGGCAATGCTTGCATCTGTCAACGCGGCGCTGGTATGTCGTGGCATTTTGGCGCAAGTGGGCATGCCTTGGTTACCCTTTGACCAACCTTCGACTACTAGTGGTGCTCGTCGATCTCTAATGTCATGTGTTATACCGTCGTCGTGCTCCCGTGTGGCCATCTATCTGGAACGTGCGATGGGATCGAACACTTGTCGTTCAGGTCATGAAACTTGCAGATGGCGATGTCGGAATCGCTGAACTTACCGTGGACTAATATTGTGTACTCGCAAAGGCAGAGTCAGTCCTCTGTTAGAGTTTGGGTAGAGTGAAACATCCTTACCATGCTTTACCGGTTTACCAATCGCTGTCTAAGCTTACGCTAAGGCCTGCACTTCGGAGACATTCACGCAAGAGCAATATTGGTATCATAAGTAAGTTATGTGCGTGCTTACTGTAGCTACTTTCAATCAATACGTATTCAAACTTGATTCAATCCATTACTGTTGCATCATAAACTTGATATTGGTCAATGATCAGTACTACTTAGTATTGACTTATCATACTTAGTATTGGTCTAGATATTAATAGTTAACATGTACGTTCACACTCTTACTCTCACTTGAACTACCACCACCTTGCGGACGTCCACACATGCGAGTCTGAATGCTGCAAGCTCGCCCACTGAGGACTAGGCTGAGAAGAGGAGTATCTGCTGGATAAACCGCACGTTATGTTCCTCTCGCTGCTTCCGGCCCTTGCTCTGGCATTTGCATATCCTGTTCTCAGCGCATCTTCCTCCCCGAACGATCCATTTCGCGATATCGCTCTGCAGGCTCCTAAGGCACCAGAACTCCCCATTTGTTGCCTCAGACCCCTAGAGCCAGTCGAGCCTAGCGCAGGAGACGATGTCTTCATCTCCTTTGAAGACTGGAAGGCCAGACGGCGAGGCGAGGCAGGAGACCAGCCCTCCCACTCTTCGCCATCTGCGAACAATGCCCAGAGGCTCGCTGGAGCAAAGGAGAGGAACGAGGTCGCTGGAGCGGGCAATACGGGCTCAACGAGCGAAGTCGCAGGTGCAGCTCAGGCCAGCGGTCAAGAGAGCACGGAGACGGTACAGCACGATGAACGACTCTCCCCACATTTCCGTATACCTACCGTCGACCGTTTCAACTACGCGGCGACGGATTGCTCCGCCCGCGTACACACCGCCCATCGCTCGGCGAAGTCTCCGTCCTCGATTCTCTCCTCGAAGAAGGACAGGTACATGCTCAGTCCCTGCGCGGAAAAGAAGCAATTCGTGGTGGTTGAACTTTGCGACGACATCATGATTGACACGGTGCAGCTTGCAAACTACGAGTTCTTCAGCGGCGTATTCAAGGACTTCTCGGTGAGCGTCGCCAAGACGTCTCCGACCGATGAAGGAGGGTGGACGCACGCCGGGACGTATCGTGCGCAGAACGTGCGCGGGGTTCAGGTATTTACTGTGTTAAATTCATGACTTCATGTCACTCACTGAGATGGTAGTCGTTCCATCCCCCGCCCACGCTGCGTGATTTCTATCGTTTCATCCGAATTGACTTTCACTCGCACTATGGCAACGAGTACTACTGCCCTCTATCCTTATTTCGCGTCTATGGTCTTACGCACCTCGAGCAGTGGAAGTGGGATGAATGGGAGTCGCGGAGCAAGGCACGGCGGGCCATTGAAGATGCCAGTGCTGCCGTGGAAAGCACTCCCGAGCCACCACAGGCAGTACACATCCCTGTCGTCGAAGTACCAAAGCCGGATCCTACCGAAACAGTATCAGTGGACAAGGTCGATACTCGCTCAGTCTCGGGAATCGAACATACAGCTGGCGAGGATTGGACTGACTCAGCACCTTCGAACGACCAAGCAGCGGCGGCTCCCACACAATCGCAGTCCGTCGAGGAACCACAGCCGATCCAGGACGTGGTACCGCCCTCCGATATGGCTGCTCCAGTTTCCTCTACAATAGCTTCAGATAGCGTCCCTCCGGACACAATGACGACCCCTGACGACCTTCACAATGTTTCTCATGTGCCGCAGACAGCGCACGCTACACATCCGACTGACAGTGACTCTACAAAGACGACACCATCCTCATCAATATTCACATCTCAATCCTTGGATCATCTACCTCGCAGCGCGTCTCCCCAGGAAGACTCGCTGTCCTCTGAGAGTGTTCACGCATCTCAGTCCCGAGCGGCGTCCATTGCATCAAACGTCTCTTCTCTGTCTTCTATTTCGCTGGCCGCATCGCAGTCGCATTCTCCACCTCCACCGCCGCCAGTCGTATTCCCTCCGGCTAGCACTGGAGGGGAATCCATCTACCGTACAATCATGAATAGGTTGTCCACCTTGGAAGCCAACACGACTCTGTACGCGCGGTACGTCGAGGAGCAAACGGCTGGAATCCGAGAGGTGCTGCTGCGTCTGGGTGAGGATTTGGGCCGTCTCGAGGGTATCGTACGTCACGTTCCAATCGTCTATTCCGGGCCCATGGCTCATGTTTCGTTGCTCGTACATACAGGGCAAGGCGCAGGCGCAGATGTATCAGCGCTCGGTAACAGAGTATGACAAGCAGCGCAGGAAGCTTGAGTGGGAGCACCGCGAACTGCTCGCCCAAGTGAACAACCTCACCGAGGAGGTCCGTACCACGCTCCGCGTCGCGCTCCATTTTTGACGTTACTCAACGATGTTACTATTATTAGGTGGTTCTCGAGAAACGAC